TCAAACTCCCTTTTTTTTTTTTTTTTTTTAAAGACAAAGTCTTGCTAGGTAGCTCAGGCTGGCCTCAAAGTCAGAGCAATCCTCCTGGCATGTGCGCCACCATGGCAGGCTTAAATTCAGTACTTATGCCAGACTGGCCTTGGACTCATAAAGATACTCCTGCCTCAGCCTCACCATTCCTGGGGTTATAGGAATGGGGAACCACAGCCAGCCCCAAGCCGCTATCCTTTTCAGATGGGGTTTTGGGAAATCACTAAATTGTTAGGGCTAATCTCCAATTTACTAGCCTTCTGCCTCAGCCTCCTCGGGTGTTGGGTTTACAGGAATGCACCACCACGCCAGGATAAAAGCATCTGAGTTTTAAAAATCTTCCATCAAATTTTCTTATTTATCCCGTTTCAGTCCTCTTTAAGTAAATCTGAGGATACTGCCAAGTAAATAAAGAGCTTTAGGGTCACCCAAACTTAGCAGTCTGCCGCTTTTCATTGATATTGTTTTTCTGAGGCTCAGCTTCCATCTCTGCCTAACGAGTACCTATCTTCTAGAGATGTATAAAGATACATGAGATAATGAATAAATGGCTCACTAAATTCAGTCACGAATTCCAGGGTAGAAGCGGATGGGAACCCAGGCTAAAAGCGTTCCTTCTCGACCTTCCCAAGATGTCTGTGCCACCCTGTATTTAAACCCACACTGTCACACTCAAGATGGCGACCGGGAAATGCGTCGCCTGAGCCAGATCCAGAATTCTCGCGTTAGGCGAGGCCAACTGGTAGGCTCTCGCGAGAACTTACCAGCCCCCCAGCCTAGCGTCGTGCTAAGAGCAGTTGGTACGGAAGGCGAGGATAGAATTGTAGGGGTAAGGTTCAGTGTCTAGGGCCGGGGGCTGCCGGGGGCCGGGGAGGAATAGAGACCGAATTTGGATTCTGGAGTTTGGATATGTTAGCAGATGGCATTCCCTATTCGGAGTCGCTATTGCCAGAACGAGGCTGCCGGAAGTGCGCCAAGGAATTTTCCTTCTCCTAGGGAACTTGCTGAGAAACTGAGGCTCGGCGTGGGGGCTGCAGAATACGGGATACTCTGAGGCCACGGCCTTTCTCTACAGGAGCGGAAGATGTCGGACAGCGAGGACAGTAACTTCTCGGAGGAGGAGGACAGCGAGCGCAGCAGTGATGGCGAGGAGGCCGAGGTCTGTGGCCGGGGCGCTGGAGGAGCCATTGCGCTTGGGGACAGGACCTGGGCAGAAGGGTCCCTGTGAGAGTCCAGAAGGACTCAGAATGGGCTGGGGCGTCTGAAAGCTTCTAGACTGTTCGGAAACAGAAAAGACGACAGGCCAAAGTAAAGCAGAGGGTTGGGTAGATTGTGGAGGCTGGGGTGAACCAGATACAATGAACTAACAGGTTTTGTGTTTAAAGGACCTGACGAGTGTGTATAGGAAGGACTATTAGCTGTTTTTATTTTTAGATGTGCTCAGTTATCCTAGAAATGTGTGTGGTATCAACAAAATAGATTTTATTTTTTTTTCTTTTTTTCTTTTTTCTTTTTTTGGTATGGGCGTTCGGGTCCTTGCGCTTGCAAGGCAGGCGACAGAACCATTGAACTAAATCCCCGGCCCACAAAATAATTTAAAGTATAAATATAGCATGTAAATAAATATATACTTGTGGATGTAAATACGTAGTCCACATACAGGTTATTTGGAGGGTGGTACGGGGGTTTGAACTGGGGTCCTTGCGCTTTTGAGGCAGGTGGCGGAACCACTGAGCTAAATACCCGGTCAAGTTGAATGTTCTTAATCTGAAAATTTAAAATGTTCCTAGAAGGAAACAAAAGGTCCTGAGTTT